TTCTTTTGTAGCTTTCCTGTTAACGGAACACATTCGATCCACATACATAACAGAAGTTCTAACCAGTCGTGCATATTTTAGTTATCTATAGAATACACGTTAGCTTAATGTTTGATCGACATGAGTTATTCTGGTTTTCGGTGGAAATACGGTTTTTTCTTTTGACAATTAGTACAAGTGGGACGAACGTATGCGGAAAGTAACTGGAGCTAGTTGGTGGGTTTTGGATATTATTTGTACGCGTAGAAATGTGGGTTCTATAAGGACGTACAGAGGATTTTTCACAACTTGATCCAATTCGTAGGTAGCAAAGTTTGACATCAACGGATTCCATCATTTTCTTCGTTCGTCGGCAGACCATGCATTCACGATCACGACGACTGACTTTTTTTTGTTTTTTTTTGTTTTGGTAAGAAACTGAGACGGCCGGGCACATGCATAAGATTTACTTAGCTTGGATGGCGACGAATTTGGATTTTGGGTAGCTTCTTGACGTCCTTCACAACCACAGATGAGAAAGCATTAATGTGTGACAGACTATATGTTCGGGAGTTAGGGAAAGCGATTAAGAAATTGCAGGAGCGGCCAGCACAAGATATAGAGATGTACATCTTCCACGAGAGATAATATTCTTTTTTCTTTCTTTCAAACGTCAGAGGAACAAAATCAACATGGAAGACTAAAACAAAGTTGACTTAGATCGATTTACGTTAGACCAAAGCAATAGCTACCCACTCTCCCACGTGCCTTTAACTCGATCCACCGTATGATGAAGAACTTGGAGTTAAGGGTTAGGTTATTTTTTCAATCATATACAGTTTGCTTGTTGCATGAGCTAAGGATACGTAATAAATATATATAATTATTTATTTATTTATTTATTTATTAGAAGACTAATAAGTAATAGCTCTCCTCCTCAAACCCTAAGGGCGTGTTTTAGGGATGGCAATTTATCCATCCATGGGTAATTTTGCCCAAACCCAAGTAGACCCATTTATTATGGGTAGGGTTTGGGCAGGGGCGGATACATGGGCCTCTAGGGGTGTCCCGGGACACCCTTAAAATTTGGGGAAATGATTATCCAACCTCCGATAATAGTTTCGTATGGGTATACAAAATATAATTGGTAATCCGGGACACCCTAACCTTTGAAAAAATGATTATCCTACCCTCGATAATAGTTTGCTTATGATTAACAAAATATAAATGGTAGTCTGTGTTATTCCAACCTAGGACACTACTATTATCAAACATATTCTAATTATGTTGCTACTCATTTGTTATTCTATTTTAAACATCATGCAACAGTAAAACGCTATTTCTTTATCCCCAACTATTTTCAGTACCTAATAATTAAACTACGTACACACTACCCTTAATTTTGAATTGATTTTATGGTTACATGGCAAGTGTTGAAAGAGTCTTTTCTACTTCGAGCTACATTAAGAACAAGGTTAGAAATCGAATATGTGATAAGTTCGTGAAGTATTGTCTAGTAGGATATGTAGATTTTTTTTAACAGTGCAGACACGGAGTTTATTTATATTATTTTTTCAAAATATGAAAACACATCATGAATTTTAATAAAAAATTTATACAAGTATGATATTTTTAATATACGAATTATTTAATTTATTATTTAATTTAATTTAATTTTTAAGAGGACACCCCTGTGAAAATTTGCTGAATCCGCCACTGGGTTTGGGTGATGTGTGTATGGGTTAGGGGTTTGCATATGAGTTTGGGTTAGATATGGATATTATCTAAATGGGTATGGGTTGGATATGGATATCCATTTACTTGAGGGTGTTTTAACTACACATACAAAAATTGGACCTATTTGTAAAACTCGAAAATTTTAATTTTTCATCGATATTTTGAGGACTTATATGAAAAAAAAAAAAAAATAATTTAGGTACTAAATATGCATAACTATTAAGTTTAGGTACCAAACTGTAATTTGCATTTGGGTATGGATACAAATCCAAATCCATATGTTAAAAACCCAACCCAACCCAAGTAAATGGGTATGGGTACAAACTCATCAATATCTACCCATCTAACATCTATTTGGATTCCATACCCAATCCAATTGGATTGGATAGTAAAATACCCATGGGTATGGGTAATATTGTCATCCCTAGCGTGTTTGGATCTAAGAATTTGGATTTGGTATTTGTGATTTGAATTTTTAAATTTCAAATAATTTGTTTGGATATTAATTAATTACATTTGGTAATTTGTGTCAAATTTATTGGGTGATTTCCAAATACATGTCTGGTGTATTACTTGTCAACTTCAAATACATTCAACAACTAGTGATTTGAAATTTCTCCCAACAAAATATTGGACCTGTTTGTAAAATTTTAAAAGTTTAGGTACTATAGCGTGAGACAAAACATATAAAGGTACCAAAATATAATTTTACCACTAGAATATCTGGACCTTTTTGTAAAAATTTTAAAATGTTAGGTATTAAATTGTAAGAAAAATAAATTTTGGTACCAAAATTATAAATACATTACAGAGTTACACATATCCATACGTCCCCTAAGCGTATTTTGCTAATGCATATGAATTCTCCTCCACTTAAATATTCAACTAATCCAATCCATTTGATCCAAATCCAATTGATGTAGTGGATTCATGGATTGATCTATTTAAATGGCAAATTATGTTTTAGTACATATACTTTTTAAATTTTAAATTTTGGTACCTAAGTTTTATTTTTTATATGAATAATATCATTGGAAAATTACATTTTGATAACTCAAATTTTTTATTATGACATTTTAGTATCTAAATTTTTCAAAATTTATATTTTGGTCCAAGACTTGGATGTCATTTGGATTCGTGGATCAATCCACTTGATCCATAGATACATCAATCCAATCCACGGATCCAATCTATTTGCCACCTCTTCTTAGCAGATTAACCCCTCTCGCATTTCAAAATAATGTGATCATTGAGAAGTGGGGAGCGGGGGGGATGTTGGTCTCTGCAGGCTCCGCTAGTATGTTACGCGCCAACGGCTGTCTCACGGGTCCGTGACGAGACAGGCGTCCCAGAATTCCTCCGTTCCATCCTCCCGTCTCTGGCCCCTCGTACTCGCGTGGGCGCCACAAGCCGGGGCGCCTTTGATATCCCGACTCGCTTTCCGTCTCCGCCATCCTTTCCCTTTTCTTCGCTGGACTGGGTGTCATTCCTCCACCTCTCCTTAGGGGGTCGATCTCCTTTCGGAGCGCCTCGATTGCTCCGTCTTGGTCCGCAATGATTCTGAATAGTTCTCTCTTCGTCATTGAGGCGCCTTCTGACTCTCGAAACATGTCCTCACTTTCCTCCCTCTCATCCATCTCGGGCGCCAGCCCCCGCGGTCGTTCCGATTGGTCTCCCGTGACCTCCTCCCTTTCCATTCCATCGCTCACTTCCATTTCCTCACTCATAGTCTCTGGTTATACCCCCCTTCCTGACGCGCCAATTGTTTGTGCCACGATACCCGCCGCGTGTTACTGTAATCCTCCTTTCTCCCGACGCCTGCCTACACACACAAAGAGGAGGGCGCCTGGGCCCGTTATTCCTCCGACGCCCAAGTTAGTTCCCTTAGAGAGAGAAGTGTTCTTATGTAGAAATTTAGGTGAGAGAGTCCAACCTGTGTAAATGCTACCATCTGCCCCTATTTATACTCACCGAACCCGAGGTTGATCTCCTCCACGTCACTATCCCAATTTAATGCTCTGTGCCCTCTTTGTCAGACACCCAACTGCTTTGTCAGGCTTCTGACACGCGACAGGCGCCCGCAGGCAGTGGACCACCTGACAGCTAGTCTCCTCTTGGCTTTTAGTGTTTTGTCCTTTTGGACCCTTTCTCTTGCTTGGGCCTGAGGGTTTCTAGTGGAACCCTTTTTTGGGCCTTGCCCCCCAATTCTACTCCTTGGGGGCCCGAACTCCTAGCTGCTAGGTAATACCCCCAACTAGGGTGGAAATCGGTACGGTATCGGTATCCCAATACCAAATACCGAAATCCCGAATACCAAATTACACCCTAAAATTAATCCCAATCCCAATCCCTAAATAATTTCGGTATCCCAATCCCAATCCCTAAATAATTTCGGTATCCCAATCGGTACCTCGGTATCCCAATCGGTATTATCGAATACATAATTAATTACCTTTACAATTAATAATTAAATATATAAATTAGATTTTATTGTTTAATTTAGGGCAAAGAGACTAAGCAAATAGTCTTGAGTTGCCTAGAGCTAACATCTCAAATTCTCGTAATTGATAATCTTTAATTTGACGAGTTTGAGGTTGAGAGACGACTAATACTAGTGTGAAATAGTGATATAATGATCTATGAATAATTAAATGACGAATTTGGTGGTTGATGGTCGCGTAGTAGTGAATGAGAGAGTCTAGTTGAGAGGATTAAATACACACTAGCTTATATTTCGGTATTGATCGGTATTTCGATATATACCGATCCCAATCCCGTAATCCCTAATACCAAATAACAATTGAAATTCAATCCCAATCCCAATCCCACAAAATAATACGTGTATTCGGTAATACCAAATATAGACAAATTCGGTACGGTATTCGATATATCCCAAATACCGGTACCAAACTTCCAGCCCTACCCCAACAAGCACAATTGGGATTCTAGTTCTTCTGCTGAATACACTACAGTTGTTTAAGCACACTGCGTTCTTCCGACTCTTTCCGATTCAACGGTGCATTAAAGGACATGATCGACGATATGTGAAGATGAACGAAAAGAGGGCCTCAAGCTGACTGGTTAGTTTGCACCCTCAAAAGTAAGAAGCAACAGACATCTTTGAACATGATAAGTGACCGAAAGAGAAACGAGAAGGGGGGACTAAGCAGTAAGCACTCTCTGTCTCTCCATCTATACACACACATACTTATGGCACTATTTACATTGCACATACTCAAACTCTCAGCTGATTAAGTGGTTTCTTTACACGGGTGGATTGAAACCCTTCAACTTTATTACACAGTTCAACAAGCCAGCACCAACTTTCAATACTACTACATAAGCACGGACTAGCAGTTATCCTGCTAAGCCGCTTCCGCAAATCCGACTTGCATGTTCCCGTAGTCAAACACCGTGTGGTAGCGTCCCATGAAAACATCTCCCAGTATCCTAGATACAAAAAAGGAATCAATCAGTGTGGAGTCGGAAACAATGTATCCATTCAGCATGTAGTGATGGAAGTAGGGATTCGGTACCAGAGGGGGCCTCTCGGAGGAGGAATGTCCAGAGCAGTAAACCCACTGATGCACTGAGCAGCAGTGCCCTCGCCCACCTTCAGAATGTACTGATAAAAGTACAACCAAAGCGAACAAATTCATGTGTGCGCGTCATCATACATTCACTATCCACGACACAATAAGAAATCAAAAAGGGGGAAGACGCTATACCTCTTCTGGTCGGAGGTCGAAAACTTTGCCTCCGATGGTGAAGGAAACAGTTGGCATGGAAGAAACGCTTCCACATTCGACGCCAGATTCTCCCATAGGATTCGGCATTCGATCACAGAGCTGAACACAATGCCAAAATGTATCAGATTGTAAAAAGCAGGAGGAAACTACTGTGAAGTGGAGTCTATCTGGTAACTAACCTCATCAACGTATTGCAGAATGCGTTCTTGTGTCTGATTCTGCATCACCTGGTTCTGCATCCAAACAACTGCCATTTCACATGCGGAGCACATGGCATCATTGACAGCTCCAGATGACCTCTCATCGCCTTCATTCACAACACTCTCGATGCCCATGCTGTTGAATAAAACACGGAGAACAAGCATCAGACCAGAATCCAGTTCAGGAACTACAGCATCTGATTTAAACTGTTATAGTCTTACCTAACACTTTTGGTTCCATCGAATGTGCAGAGCCCAATTTGAGAGCAGATCTTCTTTGGTCCAGCCTGTAAATATTGAAGAATAATCAACAAATGTTGAAGTAATAGCAGAAGGCGCAATGAGCTGTAGTGTTAGAAATCGGGTTCCAAAGAAAATTAGGTCTAATATTCACCTCAGCCATTAGCAAATCAAGGATGGTTTGTCCATACTGTGAAACGACAGTCTTGCATTGCTGGCTAACAACTCCAGAAGCTCCAATTGCTTTATTTATCATGGCAACCACAGTCTGAAAGAGCAGCGGAGAGTAGGCAAAACTTCAGTATCCTTTGCACAAAAAATTTATAGGTATATAGCTATGCACAGATATCTCATACCGTTGGACCTGCCAGCAGGGAAGTTCCTGAATCTGCTATTGCTGAACAACCACGTCCGCAATAACCTGAAAATGTTCCAAGATATACATAAACTCCACAGAACCAAGATACTTTTCACATAAATTTAGTTCATGAGTGCAAATTACTGTTAACATCAAACAACGAGTACCAGTGGGTTTGCCGCCAATGATAACATCTCCCATGTCAAACTAGCACAGAAAATGAAAGACAATAAGGGCCGACTTTTAGTAATATAGAGCTACTACTACCAAAGTTACGGGGGATGATCAAATAGAAAGACCCTATGGTAATTGTGATCAATTTACCTGCCAATAACCTTTCTGAGTCACGGGAACATAAGTGTGCTTTCCTTTGAAATGATTTGGATCAACACCTCCGAACACAATCTCACCACCTTCCTCTTCATCCACATGGCGGTTTAGCCAGAAGGAAAATACAGGCTCCTTGATAAGGCCTTGTTTCATCATGTTGTCCCTGCAAGATAATCAATCATGTCCTTCAATGAAAAATACTTGAGATATAATCCGACAAACCTTCGATAACAGAAACACAGGAGCATTTACCAGACGGGAACAGCATCTCCCACTGAGATCTCACGAAATCCAAGCCCCAAGATACCATCAAACTTCGCCATCAAGAAGGTAACACCAGGCTCCCTTGTTGCCTCAATAAAGTCCTGTCAAGTTTACAGGAATTTTACAAGAACGATATTCAATTGCCCGAAACCAGAATCTGGATTGAGTAATTGATGAAAGAGAATGGATGGTGTTAGTTACCTGATCGTCCGACACACCCTCTCTCGAGAATTTTACGAAGGACGTACATATTTTTTGTACAAATTTTTTTATTTCGGGATAGCCGACACACCTTCAGTAATTATAGCCGACACACCTTCATTATACTCGAAGAATTTATTATCCAAATGAATCAATCTTAATTATAATCCTTTTTAATTTTGTTTAAAATAACTCATAAATTATAACCCTATAAATTCCTATTAAAAAAATCTCAGTTCATACAATATACATGTGTGATGTGTGTTGGTCCTGGGCCTGAGCCTATAATTAAAAGAGGAAAAAAAAACCACATGCCTAATGGCCAATAGCCCAAGCGGCCACTAACTCCCCATCATTACCTGTTACAACTACAAGCTGCGAAAGAACATTTTTAGTTATGAAGATAATCAAGAACGATCTTCGAAATCGGTTGAGTGACCAATTTATGAATGATTGTTTAGTTGTGTATATTGAAAAAGATTTGCTTTGCAGAATAAGTGATGAATGTATTTTAGAGACATTTCAGCAGATGAAAAGTCGTCGCGGTTCGTTGTAAATAGGGATGGCAATTTCGACCTGACCCGTTTTACCCGACCTGTTTGACCTGTTTTGGGGCGGGTCCGACCCGCCCCGTAGGCGGGGCGGGGCGGGCATGGGTACTCTCATCGACTCGACCTGCCCTGACCCGCCCCATTCTCAACCCGTTCTTGCCTAAATTACACGTAATTTTAGTAGAATTTCCCTTTTATTACATCAAATTTTAGTTATAATAAAGATATAAATTAGTGAAAACCTCAATTTTCCCAATAATTTAACTATATTTATCATTATATTGTTTGTTTTCTTGGTCTCATAATAAAAATAACGAATATTTCTAATATTTTTCATATAAATTGCATACCCATTGGGTCGACCTGCCCCAGCCCGTGACCCGTGATAAATTACCCGACCTGAACCCGACCTGCCATGGGGCGGGTCTGGGTACCAAGAAACCCGGCCCAGACATGCCCCATTGCCATTCCTAGTTGTAAATATCACATTGTGAACTTTATGAATTAACTTCTTTTAATTTCTACTTAATTTTTTTAATTTAATTTAATTTAATTATTATTGTATTTTATCGGCGACACACCTCTCCGACAATCCTGGGTCCGCCACTGATTCTCACTGAGTTATCCGAAACAAACAATAGGACACTCTTTTATTCGAGCTTGCACCTGATAATAATCATATCATCAGAAATATATATTAGCTAAACAAATGGTGTGTGAGTGAATGGCGCCGGCCGGTAGGGGTGGGCATTGGTGCGGTCAAACCGCTCCGAACCACACCAAACCGCTTTTGCGGTCGAGCCAAAGCGCACCGCAATACTTGCGGTCTAATACGCGGTCGGAATTTCTTGCGGTTCGCGGTTTGCGGTCGGATCAATCCAAAACCGCGCGGTTGCGGTTCAAAACCGCAAACCGCTAAGTAACCTTTCACGTTTGATTTGTCGGGAAAAAAGAATCTGCTAGATTGCTAGAGAAAGAGTCCCTACCTTTCCTCTCCCTTTCCCGTCGCACCTCCTCTCCCTTGGGAACAATCTCCGTAAGTTTGGTATGGCAGCCATGGCGGGTTTTGGTTGAGGGAAGAAGAAGAAGAAGTCATAGCTTTTAGTAATTGTGGTTTTTGCCGGTCAAAATCGTGCATTTATTCAAGCAATAGTGAGGAAACAAAGGTTGAGGGGAAAACAGAGGTTTAGGAAGGAAGGGGATTGAGGGAGAAGGTAGGAAGTTGAGGTTTCATTTCCTTGCTTGCTGTCAATTTTTTTGATCGTATAAAACTTTTCTAATAATGGATGATTGAGATTTGAGCACTTGTTAGTTTACAACGCTTGATTTGTTATTGGGTTCAACTGAATGGTAATTGAGCACTATAGGACTGCTCTGTTTTGGTGGCAGGAAACAGAGTCAAAATGATTTATTAACGTACAAAACATAATTGCGGTACAAATGCGGTGCGGTCCAAACTGTACCAAACCGCTAATTTATGCGGTTTGGTTTGACCGCACCAATAATTTCGCGGTCAACATGCGGTGCGGTCCGATTAAGATGCGGTGCGGTGCGGTTTATATCAATGTGGTGCGGTGCCATCCAAACCACACCGATGCCCACCCCTACCGGCCGGTGGCCAGAATGGCGAGAATGTTAGGCTTTCGGCCTTTTCATTTGGACGTTATTAGCTAACTAATTAGGAATCGTCTTATGTTGATATATTTTAAGGTATGGCCACCATTACAATTACATTCACGTGGTTATTGCGTATATATCTGTATATAATATAAGCATGCATGATGCATCCTAACTAGCCAACTTTGTACTATTATTATTGCAACTAGTTTAAAAAGGTTGGACATTGTTGAAAAGATTCATAGTATTCGTCATTGATCGGGGTCCCTCCAGAAGGCACGGAGCTGGCTTTCGGCATGGTTGCATGTAGGGATGGCAATGGGGCGGGTTTGGGGCGGGTTTGCTTAAACCATCCTCATACCCATCTTCAAATATCCAAACTCATACCCGCCCATACCCATGCGTGGAATGTTTTACAAACCCATCCCCATATCCGTGGGTTTCGGGTACCCATGGGTAATACCCATACCCGTACATCCAACATTATTATACCTAAAACTTACAAGAAAAGTTCTAATTATAACTCTAAACGAACATATTATATCATGAAGTCAACAAAACATGGTCATTTTGATTAAGGGGGAAAGTGAAAGAGTGAAATGAGAATTGAGAGAAATGAATTAGATTTTGATTAAGGTGCTCACTCAATTGCATTTCTGCTATTTATTTTCTCAAGTTATCATCATCATCATTGATAGATTTTGATTTTATGCACATATTTTTTTTAATATATGAAGAAATTATCTTGGTGGGGCGGGTATGGGGATGGGTATGGGGCGGGGAGGCTAAAACCATACCCGCCCCATACCCATCAAACTTTTTGCGGGTTTTACCCATACCCGCCCCATACCCGGTCAAAGCGGGAATTCCCCGCGTTGACTGGATCGGGGGCGGTCGGATACCCGTGGCCATGAGTTTGATTGCCATCCCTAGTTGCATGCATGTGTTGGATTGGGTGGCATTGGGCTTCAACTTAACCTACACAATTGTCTAGGACTAGGCTTGGCCTCATTTGGTAATTGGACTTGTCCATCAAACAATGGGCTCATGTATCCAGACCCACCCAAGCAAAAATTGCTGATAAAATAACTGATATATATACATATATTTTTAAAATAGACCTGTATTATTTCATTAATTGTTTGAAACAGTACACTAATCAACAATTAGCTAAGAAACCAAAAAAACTGGAGGTCACCGTTTTGAAAATAACAACTTATATTGATCAGGTCCTGAAATCAAATTTTTCATGATGTAACGGTAGAGCGAAACTCTCCCTCCATCTTTTAAACACATTTCTCAATACTCCACATTAATCGATATTTCATGGATCCATGAATTGCTTCACTTTCTTGTCTCATTTTTCAAATCGATGTGTACATACTAACAGTAAAAAAGAGAAACAAATTAAGGGTTTTGCAACTAAATACTAGGGGTGTTCAAACGGTATGGTTACCGTTTTAACCGGTAGTGTTTGGATAATTTGTTTTGGTTAATTTGGATAATTAGTTTGGTTAGGTTAAATTTCTTAGCTTTTTTGGTTAAGGTGGTTTGGTTTGGTTTCAGGCACTCATAACCAATCAAACCAAATTAACCATATATCCAGGGGCGGAGCTACATTGTAGCTAGGGTGGGCCCCGGCCCCCCCGGGATTGATCCCGGCCCCTAGGTTCTTAAGGATATTTCGTACAAATTTTAGAAGTAGAACATGTTCTGTAAATTATGTCATCAAATAGTTATGTGGCCTAATGGTAGTGAAGCTTAACTAGTGTATTATAGCACACGGGTTCGATTCACATTGGTTACATAAATTTTTTTAATTATTTTCGGCCCCCCCGGTTTCGAAATCCTGGCTCCGCCCCTGCATATATCTAATATATATTATATACACATACTTAATACTTTGCATAACCACTCGAGTGAAATGTAAGATAATTGTATTTATGTTAATGGAGGTAATTGTATTTGTTACATGTATTTATGTTAAGGGTTAGCTATAATTATGTGTTGATTGTTATGTGTTATTTATTATATGAATTGTGAATTGATGCACTAACCAATTTTTTTCTCACTTGATGATAATGTGATTTTTTTTGTTAACCAATTAACCAAACCGATTAAATTTTAGTTTGGTTAATTTGGTTGTTGTATTAGTTTGGACGATTTGGTGATGATATTATATTCCATGGTTAAAAGAATTTATTCTTTTTTTTTTTGCATTGAAGGGAGGCCGAGGCCGAGCAAGCAGAAAAAAGGTTACAGGGGAAGATTACAGCGGGGGAGAGGTGGGCGCCACAATCCGGCGTTCAAGATTAACTCCTATCATATCATCTCTGAGAATCGGGGCCAGTCCAATCGGTAGGTCCGCAAGCTCATGCATACCGTAGGGATAGACGAGACTGTGCTTCGAGAGCTAGTCTACGACTCTATTCCCTTCTCGATATGTATGAGTGATGCGAACCAGCCAATCACGACTCAGCTTTCTACGGATAACCGAGAGGAGAGTAGCATACGGGTGAATCGGATCAGACCTGCTTTCAATAAGATGGATGGCCAGCTGAGAATCTGAGGAAATAGCCACCGCTTGGTGGCCTCCATTCTAGGCCACGTCGATGCCATGATTGAAGGCCCAAAGCTCCGCAAGAGCGGCATTCGTTGTCCCTAGGTTCGTCACAAAGCCTCCAAGCCATCTGCCCGTGTTGTCTCGCAGCACCCTGCCAGCCCCCGCCGGACAGGGGTTGCCCGCCGAAGCTCCGTCGATATTGAGAGAAATCCAACCCTGTGCTGGTGGAGTCCATCCGACATTCGCCAAAATTCGAGGCGAGGGGCGAGCTCTGTTATCCGGTAGAGGCGACGGAGAGTTCCAATAGTCACTCCAAAGTTTAGCTTTGGATAAGATCGAGTGCTCTAAGGTAGGGGAGTCAGGGCCGCTTCAAGACCATGAAACATGGCTGTGTTGCGATTTTTCCATAACAGCTAGGCCGCGATGCTAAAGAAACCCGACCATCCCACTCCGGATCCCGTTGAGGCGCCGCTCAATAAATTTGAGCGCAACCACTCATGAAGTGAGGAGGTGAAGAAGGCTTACTGGAGTTCGTTGGGGACGTGGCGTGACCAGAAGAACAGCACCGGCGGACAATCTCTGATTATGTGAAGAATGGTCTCTGGCTGACCGGTACACCTAATGCAAAAGGGATTATCCGCAACTTTCCTGGAGTAGCGAAGCGCATTGGTGGCTAGCTTATCCCGGTAGACTTGCCACATAAACCCTCTGATCCTCTCTGGTGTCAGGAGTCTCCAAATGCTCTTCCACACTTTCTCATCCTGATCAGGCGGTCGTTGAGTGATGAGATTATAGGCTGATTTGGTGGAGAAATTCCCATCAGCAGTAGCCGACCAAAAAAGCTATCCTCCTCCTGCGTGTCCCTGTCCACCGTGATACTGAGGATCTTCTGCACAGTCTCAGGCAGCAACAGGTTGGCAAACCGCTCTGTGTCCCAGCAACCATCACATTTGACCATCTCTGCTACCTTGACTCCCTCCAGCTCGTGCGGAATATTGCTAACTGTCAGCTCTCATAGAGGAACCTGCGAAACCTAACAGTCACGCCAGAAGTGAGTGTTCCTACCATTTTTAATATTCCACGCACAACCTTTCTTAAGAAGACTAGAAACTTTGGACATGCTAGCCCAGGTGAAGGAACTTCCCTGACGGGGGCGGATCATGTCGAGGCCCTGGCGGTCACGTCCGTATTTTGCTCGCATTAGCTGGGTCTAGAGGCTGTCTTTGTCTTGGAGGAGACTCCATCCACACTTTGCTAGCATAGCCAAATTTGCCTCCCGAGTAGGCCGGATACCCACTCCACCCTGGCTCTTCGGCATCGTCATCTTGTCCCAGGAAACCAGGTTCATCCTAGCCTTGTCCTCCTCGTCCCCCCAAATAAAATCTCTGTTGAGCTTGTCTATCGACTTGCAGACGCTGTCCGGAGGAAGCTCTGTCTGCATATTATAAACAGGCAAAGCGACAGAGACAGACTAGGTTAAGGTAAGGCGAGCATCAAAAGACAAACGCTTAGCTTTCCACGGGGCCATTCGTTTCTGAATACGGAGAAACAGAGACTGGTATCTATCCTTCGTCACTCTCTCATGGATTGCCTGAATACCAAGGTATCTCCCCAAGGTTGGTTTTAGAGGAATACCCGCCAGCTGACTAAGGCGAGATGCTTTCCTCCTGGCAATGTTAGGAGAGACGTATAGGATAGATTTGCTGAAGCTGACCCTTTGCCCAGAACTAGAACATAAGTCATCTAAGCACTGTTTTATTATCTTAATTTGGCGGGACTCTGCCTCAGCGAACAACAACAGATCATCTGCAAAGAAAAGATGGGTAGAGGGGGACCATTCGGTGATAGCCTCACAGGCTTCCAAAGGCCATCGCTCAC